TACAGTAAAACAACATTGTTATTTATTGCTATTCTAGATACATGGAGATGTATGGGGAACATGGAGATGTATGGAGAACAGCCATGTAATAACTGAACCAGAATCATTCCCTCTACTAGTGAAGGCCGTGTGGGATTAGTTAAACAAACAAACCCAGTCGACCATGCCTCATAATCTTCTTACTCTTTAAATAAACAACTTTGCCCGACTGGCAAAAGAAGATACCACCGTTTTTGCCTCAGTCCGCCCGTGTGTGGACAACATAAGCAATTATCTATAAACAAGTCATGATATTTCGTGAATACATCAATTGCATAACACCATCTCTGACCATAAACCCAAACGGCCCATCCCTTGTGACAGGTGTTAACTAGACGGTACCAATTAGAGAATGTATTCTGCAACGATATGTCTATTATTCCCTGGCAAGGATTCACTTTTATGACATTAATAAACCCTGCCCAGTCAGCCAGTGAGTCCGGTAAACCTTTATTTAATCCATGATGTAACGTAGGTCTATGTAATTTGTGTTTATACAAACAGTAACAAGGGAAATTTGTTTTGCGCTTCTGTGGATAACAGTAAAACATACACTTAAAAATGCTAGCCATACTGACAGTCAATATCAATTTTTGACACTTAGAACAAGAAGGATGCAGATGAGTGAAGTTATACTATTATATAGAATTGGTTCCCAGTTGATCGCATAGGACGGCGAATAGAAAACACTTACTTTCAACATGATCCCGACTTTCAGAAACGTATCTCTTCACACGTCAGATGCAATTACATTAATATAAAGCACAAATGCATAATATCAAAATACGGCCTATTCCTGCAGTTCTCATGAAAAAATATGTCACATGCAAGATGCATTATGTATATCAACAATAAGAACTCGAACAGAACAAAAGATGCGTGAAACATCTATACACTCATGGGGATCCTTGGGTTGAGGAGAAATTGAAAAAAGTGGTACTAAAATCCTTCTTAAATTTCCAAATATTTCCAAGCCTTGGAAATTTTTGGAAACATGATGTTTCCAATTTTGGAAATTTTTGGAAATATGATATTTCCAAATTGGAAATATTTGGAAATCACCATTTTTTTTCTTGTGTTGTTAGTGGATGCCCTACCTTGGCACAAACAGCATATCTTAAAAGACATGATGGCATGGCTCGTTGCTTTTACTACCGTCTCCGACATGTTTGTGGCTTTGACTCCGAGGTCAATCCATGGTACGACCCTGAACATGTCCAGGGCATCATGGAAAATGATGCTTTCAAACTTCTGTGGAACAGGCCCATATGCAGCCTCAGAAGAATTCCTGCCAACAAACCTGATCTTGTTCTTTTTGATAAAGCCAGCGAATTTATTTATATCATTGAATTTTCTGTCCCTTTTGACAGCAATGTGATTGACAAGATTGACAAGCATGATAAATATGCGGACCTCGCCTTTGAAATGTGTCACTTGCATCCCAAGTACACTGTCGTCAGGCTCCCCATTGTTCTCGGTGCCCTTGGTTTGGTACCTCCTGATCTCTTGGCGCAGACCAGGGGAGTGCCCGGGTTCTCCACCGGGAGCACAGACCTTCTGACGCTCTGGGTAATGCAGAAGGCTGCAGTGTTGGGGACCCTTCATATTCTCCGAAAAGGTCTTGGTGGGTTCGACTAGGCAGTGTTTCCTGGGAAAAGTCCCATTCGCTGTCAGGGCTGCGTGTAGAGGGGGCCCTGAGCTGATGATGAGCCTTACCAGCCTGACTGTGCCAGGATCACCCGAACCCTTTCTGCTGCATTTTCATCTTTAATCTGTAAAACATAATAACTTTAAGATTTATATAGCGCATTTACTAGCTGAGCAGAGCTGCTCAAAAGCGATGCTAAAGTGTGACAACGTATGGATATACACAATGCTGGGAATGTCTATCTGTATGCCTCTTGGAACAAGTTAGTCTTGATGGCATTCTTGAAATCATCAAGATACGAAATAGATCATATGCTTTCTGGAAGTGAGTTCCGCAGTGCTGGGCCTGCTGCTGTAAATCTACGGTCACCATACTAGGTTGCTGACCTTGAAGATGGAGTGTCAAGCAGATTCTGGCTAGCTGACAGTAAGGCTCTGTCTGGTTGATAATCTGTGATGAGATACTGAAGATAAGGTGGCGCAAGTTGTGTTTTGACTTAAACACAAGCATCAGTACTTTGTATTTCACCCTTTTCTCCACTTTCAACCAATGAAGGCGCTTCAGAACAGCTGTTATGCTGTCAGATTTCAGATTTTGTTGATGTGTGATTCAGCTGAGAGAGTTGACTCAAAGACAAATCCAAGATTCCTTGCCTCATGTGCTTGTTTTATGACATGTTCTCCAATGTGAAATGATGGAAGACTCAACTTCTGTTGTGCAGATTTGTAACAAAAGATCATTAATTCTGTTTTTTCGCTGTTCAGCTTTAAGAAGTGGCAAGCCATCCACTGTTTGATGTCTTCTGCACAGAGTGTCATCCGACAGAAAGCCGTGCTGATAGATCTCTGGTCGGTGGGTTTGAATGCTAGATATAGTTGCGTGTCATCTGCATAGAGATGTATGGACAGACCATGACGGCGGGCTATATCTCCCAAAGAAGAAGTATATATGGTGAATAAGATCGGCCCTAAGACGGATCCCTGAGGTACACCATATAGCGAAGTTCTACCTTCATAGACATGCTATTCTTCATCTTCACAGCCTGAGTGCGCCCAGATAGATATGATTGAAGCCAGTCATAAGCGGAGCTGTCAACACCAAATCCATGGTTTAGGGTCTGCAGCAAGATGGTCTGGTCGATGGTGTCAAATGCAGCTGTTAGGTCTAGTAATACAAGAATGACAGCTCCACTGGTATCAACAGCTTCCAAGATGCCATTCTGTACTCTAACAAGAGCAGTTTCGGCACTGTGCTGGCATCGATACGCTGACTGCATCACTTCAGTAGTTAAGATATCTGTATAACCTGAATACACCTGTTGCAGCAGCACTTAATATTGGGTATATTTATGAAAATAATTGTTTGTGAACAGTCATCATATGTTTCTCAAAGTATGCATTCTTCTATTTTATTTTGATACAACAGGTTCAAATGTTAAACATGTCTCACACAGAGAATATAAATCTAATTTTGAAAACTTGAAACATCAGAATACCACGTTCGGATATTGCAGATACCGACACCGGAATTCATCAATAGAACAAACCATCGCCTTGACTAAAACTATTTGCGATACCACTGGTCTCGTATTCATTCTCTGAAGACAATGACACCACCACCACCACACACACACCCCTACCCCCACCGTCCCACCACCCCCATTCTGTTTCATATTCAGTATATCCATTAATTGCTTTGCCAGTGTTTCAACAGATACTTCTTGGAACCTGTCACTTTTACAATTGTCTGTTTTCTTAGTTTCTCTGTCTATAAATTCTCGCTTCTTTTATTTAAAAGTCATTTGTGCTTTCAATTTCTTAAACTGGTCTTTGAACATTTAGTAATTTGGAATTCATGAGTTTGTACATCACCTACATGCTACTTTGAGTAGACATGAAGATCCGTAGTGGAATTTTGTGTCACTGAATGTGAATGTGTTCTTGTTTTGTCAAATAGTGTTCGAGCCTTTTAGTAAATGGAACCACAGCGAGCTGATGCAGTCGTGCTCTAAGACTGGTTGATCAATGTTTGTTTGTTTGCCTGTTCGTTTGTTTAACGCCGCACTTACCAATATTCCAGCTATATGTGGGTGGTCTGAAAGAATCGAGTCTGGACAAGACAATCCAGTGATCAACAGCACACAGCGAGCCCCATCACCCGATCCCGTTAGTCGCCTTTTTGACAAGCATGGGTAGCTGAAGATTAATTCTAACCCTGATCTTCACTGATATTGATCAATGGCATCTGAATGTGATGACCAGCGTGGCATAAATGTTGGAACTGAATGAATATTTCTCACATGAAGTGGTGTTGACTTTTGGAAAGAGAAGAAGTAATACCCTCTTACCATACAGTCCTTGATTATATTTCTTGTCACCCTGGGATTTTTTTCATGGATATAGATATGAAACAAATATAGTGACCTCTTTCATATCTAGCGCACGGACATATACATAGGGAATTGGATTTGTTCTTGACCATTACAGACTGATGCCTTATGTTGGCTTAGCTAACCTGAATTATAAAATTATAAAATATTATAAGATATTTCAAAGTAAACTATTAAAATGGGGTTATACATTGCGTTCGAGATTATTTCACTTATGTAGCGAGGTGCATACAAGTGTTGGTAGGTGCTGTTTGCCCGTGCATGCACGTGATGGTATGTGCTGTTTGTACGGCACGTGTAAATGGTGCATTGTCAATATGAATTTTGAAACATACAATAAGAAGGATGCAGATTGAGTAAATGTTATGCCTATTTATGGAACTCGTTCCTTGATGATCAAGGCGGTAGTGTAGCCTAGTGGTCACGCTGGAGACCTGGGTTCGATTCCCCACATGGTTGCAATGACTGATGTCTGTTTGTGGTGTCCCCCGTCGTGATATTACTGGATTATTGCTAAAAGCGGCGTCAAACTAAATTCACTCACTCACTGGAACCTACTTGTTCACAGAAGATTGTGAATATAAAAATTCTTACATGGAAAATTATTCTAACTATAAAAAAAAAAATATTGAGAAAAAATACATATTTTATTTCTTAACGTGTCAGGACCAGCTGCATTACTATGACGCATAAAAGGATTATATTAGAATGTGACTTGTCACTGACATCGGAGAGATGTGAAAACAGGGGATCCATCATAGGAAAAGGAGAAACTGAAAGAGGCAGGTGTTAAATCCTTTGAATTAACGAAAAGAAATTACAAGCTTTGTAAATATGAACTTTACAAAACTTTGTAAATTGTTGTAAATATGAACTTTACAAAAGTAATAATTTTGTAAATTTTCGATTTGTGTCTTGTGTTAGATCGTTGGCTGTCTCAGGCAAATCTACCCTGCTGTCAAGATTGAACGGACGTGTTGTGGCCTCTTCACAAACCTTCAGCTCCCGGTACAAGCGTCAAACCATTTACATCGAGACGCGGGTAATGATGCAGAGACGAACAGGTTCTTAGTATTTATTCTCATTCATATAATTTTTGTATGACCACTTGGAATCGTTATGTATTAAGCCAATAGTTATTTTTTTAGATTACATATCCGAGTGAACATTATAAATTCTAGTATTTGAAATATTTCAATTTGTGATAATGAGTTGTTGCCCTCTGTCTTTGCAAGTACTGATCATCTTTTATATCCGTTCAGAAAACAGTTGTAAGTATGACGCAAACATGACATTTATACACAAAAATGTCTTAGCACCAGGGCTAGAAGGTGGACATACGAACAACAGCTTTTGAGATTAGGTATGAAGCACGTACTTTTACATTTGCATTCCAGTATGTTAGGGTGTCAGCGCCGTGCTTATTGTGGTAATTAGTGTTACCTTGCATAGCGGTCGGCATCTCGGGGATAAAACAAGAACTGGTTTCTCGAAGTCAGTACAATGTATCTAAGCGAGGTATAGCATACTTCAAGAATAGTTTCACCCCTCTTGTTTTGTGTACACTGTGATTGATTGATTTATTCATTGACAGAAAAGGGGATCGTCCTTTCGACGTTTGTCCTGTTACTCGTGGTTCTTGTATATCAGTTTTATTGGACTGAGTTGTCAAAGCTGAATCATGCACGGATTTCAGCAACTTCACCATCTGGGGATAATAATGGGTAGGTATAAAGGCTTATTTTACACTGTTTAAAGAAATCATCATTTGGCAAGCGCAGCTATTTGTCCATAATGTAATTCAATATTTTAGCATACACCATAGTAAAGTGTAAATATTTATATATCTTTTATACCTGGTTCTGTTTTATTTAGATGGAAAGCTCAGTTTACTAGTAAGTAGCCAGTGTTCACATCATGTTAAGACTATGGTGTGGTGATCTACCATGTGCAAAACTGTGGTGACAAACATTTGTCTGTTTATTTTCAAGGGATGTCCCCTATACCGTACGTCAGAACATATCTGCTGCACGTGACAAATGGCTGATCCTATCAACGGTTGCTGAGATGAACGACATCAGAGTGGCAGGGTGGAGAGTATTGTTGCTGGAAAGGTCAACCAAATCAGAATCTGCTTGCAGGTAAAACATTGGGCATTGGTATCCATGCTTTCATTTTCTGCTGAAACTTTGCAGTTCTGCATCTGATGTCAATGACAAGAAGATATTTCCACTCACAGGGGTATGGATGGCTATATACTGTCTTAGGTATGCCAGAATCCTGTCATCGTGTGTGCAAATCCAAAAGTACTTCTTACCGTGTTTTACTTTGTTTTGTTGGTTTCTGACTTATTCCCCCAGTAGTGGTAAAGTCATCTTATTCATCTGCTCGGAATGCCTTAGTTCACTTCAAACTAGGCCAAACACCAGTAAAAAAACAGTACAGCGGTAATTGTCCTAATGGGCCGGGTTGTAAGTAAGAGAACTGAGATTATTTAGACAATGGCAAAATTACATTCGTTGTTAAATCACCTTCACGTTCGCTTGAAGCTGCTTGAATGCAAATATTTTTAAAAATCCAGGGTCAGCTGTAAGAAAGTTTTGTGAACTCCAAATTGAGGTGAGAAACACTTGAACAAAAAAATCAGGATCTGATGATCCTTGTGATATTTGAAAATAACGTTTTCGTCACTAAGTACCCGTGCATAGTTTGCAAAGATGAACATAATGAGCTGCTACAAGCACTACCGTATACCATGGAGCCATAATCAAGCTTGGTGCGGACCAGTGATCTATATAGATGAAGGAGGGTAGCTTGATCCCCTCCCCATTTAGAATTTAAAACCACCTTCAACAAGTCAAGTGCCTTCAGGCATTTAGTTTTAAGGGATTTAATATGTGGCAGAAACGTTAAGTGTGAGTCAAAAAGTAGACCCAAGAACTTGGCCTCCTTGACAACATTAATGGGCGTGGCATCTAGAGATAGTTCAGGGTCTTTATGTGGTTTGTATTTATGGCAGAAATGTATGATGCAATTAGTTTTCGTTTTAGAAAATTTAAAGCCATTTTCAAGACACCATTTATGTATCTTGTTTAAACACAACTGCAGTTGCCGTTCAATAGTATGCATATTTTTACCACTACAGGAAATGTTAAAATCATCCACAAAAAGTGATCCATCGATTGAATCATTTAAAACTTTTCACAAACTATTTATCTTTATACTAAATATTGTGACAGACAAAATACTGTCTTGGGGAACATCCTGATCCTGATTGTAATGATCAGACAGGGTAGAACCCACGCGGACTTGAAATTGTGTCATTTAAAAGTTGGGTATAAATTGAGGCAAATCAATCCGAAGCCATGTAAATCTCTTAAAATGCCATATTTCATCGTAGTGTCATATGCCTTTTCAAGATAGACACAGCGGGTTGTTTATTAATTAGAGCGTTTTTAACAAAGGATTCCAAACGCACTAAGTGATAGACAGTAATTCTGTTTTTACGGAAACAACAATGTATATCTGTTATAAGGTTATTTGTTTCTAAGTACCAAACAAGTCGATTAGTTATCATTTGTTCAACGGTTTTGCAAACACAGCTAGTTAGTTTAATAGGTCAATAATTTGACGGATCCGTATGATCGCGTCCAGGTTTAGGTATTGGTACTACTATAGCGTCACGCCATGAGGGAGGAAATTTACCTGATATCCAAATATCATCAAAAATATTTAAGAGAGTTTCTAGACAGGATTCTGGTTAGTGCTTCAGGAGTTGATTATGTATGTTATCAGCCCCTGTAAGAGTATCATGAGCTTGTTCAAGAGCAGTATGGAGCTCATGAATAGAAAATAGTTCATTATAGTCTTCCCCATTATCTGAATTGAAATTAATAGGTTTCTTTTCTTGTTGTTTTTGATATTGCTGGAATTTAGGCACATAATTAGAAGAGGAAGAATGTTTAGCAAGAGTTTCACCCAGTTTATTTGCAATATCTGATTTATCAGTAAGTAATTGATCTCCATGTTTAAGATGATGGACGCTAGATTTAGTACCTTTACCTTTAATTTTCTGTACCATGTTCTACACTTTAGACATGGGCGTTCGAGAATTTATTTTGGATACATAATTTTTCCAAAATTGGCGTTTATTCAGTTGAAAGGTACGCCGCGCTTTAGCATTTCAAATTTTGAATTTATCTTAATTATGCACTATAGGGTGGCGACGGAAATAACGTTCTGCTTTTTCCTTGCCTTCCTAGCTTGTTTGCATTCATTGTTGAACCAAGGTTTCCGAATGTGTGGAATTGCAGAGGATTTTGGTATACATTCATCAGCTATGATGTTCAGTGCATCAGAAAAACACTTGACAGCATCAGGAACGTCAATAAAAAGTTCAAGTTTAAGTTTTGCAGCACACAGTGTTTCATACAGAGCCCAATTAGCCTTTTTAAAATTCCGCCTTCATGATGGAGGAACATCAGATGGAGTTACAGGTTTTAGTATAGTAGGACAATGGTCACTTCCACAGAGATCCTCGTGGACTGACAATTCGAATTCATTCAGTAGTTCTGAATTTGTAACTGACAAGTCGAGAGCAGAATATGTTCCTGTGCCAGGGTGTAAATAAGTGTTGGAACCATCGTTACAAATACATAAATCATTATCTGAACAAAACTCATCCAGCAGTTTACCTTTAGCGTTTGTAGTTGCACCACCCCAGAGTGGATTGTGCCCATTTAAATCTCCCATGATAATACATGGTTTCGGCAGTTGGTCATATAGAGCTTGAAGATCGGTTTGGTGAAACGTTGAAGACGGAGAGAGATATATAAAGAGCATAATGTAAACGCAACGTTTAAAGTAAGTCGCACTGCAACAGCCTGCAGATTGGCAGTAAGTAAAATAGGGCTATGGATAACGTTCTGTTCAACTAGGATGGGAGATCCTCCAGTGGCTTTGTCACCCGGAGGTGAAAAACTATGATATGCATTGAAAGAACGCAGGACAAAAGTATCTGTCTGTTTTAAATAGGTCTCCTGCAGACAGAACCCTGATGGTGTTAAAACCTAGACTAAAAGCTGCAATTCATTGAAATTAGTCTTTAAACCTCTGCAATTCCACTGTATAACATTATTCTGATAACTTATCTTTTGGGGGGATTTATTGGAGATCTACCCAGCACTTTTTTGGTGGGCGACAAGCTGTGTGCCCTACTACGGACGTTTTCGGACACGTCCATATCCTCAAGAGATCCATATTTGTTGTATAATTGAATTTTATTGTCTGACCCTTTTCGGGCCCTGCCACTAAGCTTTTTCGATGAATCTGGCTTTTTACTTTTGGTTTTAGTGAGACCTTGTTGACGACTGAGAAGATGGTTCATGATCAGGGGATGTCCCTAATTGTATTTGAGATGTACCAGGCAGTGACTCTCCTGTTTGAGTAGAGGTAGTAGGTGAGAAAGGGTTTGGAGAATCCGTTTTCACCCAAGTCAAGTTTGTCTTGCAGCTTGTGGATACTGTAACTACTCTAGATTTTGCTTCATGACATTTGACTGCACAGGTTGATGCCGTCGTAGAGGAGGAAAATGGTGAGTGCGACACTACAAAACAGCAAAGGCAATGTCACAAACCATTCATTCACTTTCTTTACTTACAGGTTACCATGGTGTGTTACAATGAACACAATAAGCACATCAGATGAAGATGCTGATGATGTAAACAAGGCTTACATCTATGCCATATCTCACAGAGCAAATGTCGTGTGTCTCCTTCATCACGTGAATACACTTGTGTCGGAAACCTTGAAGAGAATAGCTGATGATCTTCCCCGGTCTGGCTTAGTTCTTATGACAAACAAAACGTTCTTTGAACCAACCATTACTGGAAACAAATCAAACAGTCTCTTGAAAGAGAACTCGCCATTTAATGCATTTTACATTGAAGATCATGTAAACGCTTTGATGCTATCAGTATACTTTCCCCAAATGCATAGAAGACGTACAGGCACAACACAAGAACAGGCCACATATTCTGAATCAATTAATGTACAACCCCCAATATTCCTTCCATTCAAAACATTCACCTTCTTTAGTTCAGATCTGATGATTTTCCAGTACAGTGCCCTCTGGGCTCTTCCTTTGATGGGTGTCAACAATGGGGATCTTATGGCGCAACGGGTCTTATGGGATATAGGGGGCAGAGCTGGGATTTATCCCTTGTCTGTACAACAAGAGTCAGATACAATGAACAACACTTCCTCAAAACCTGTGATAGATCTGTTGAAGTATTGGCAATGTAAAGCGGACTTAGATGTGTTACAATGCATGAGTGACTTGGTCAAACTCATGAAAGACCATCAACTCGTTACTTTGCGAGATAAACATTTAGTGGACCAATGGGTTTCTGATTTAAGGTCTATCTATTATCAACTTCCAAAACGGACTATTCAGAAGAAAGTCATTCATTTAAAGAAAGATCTTACAGCAGGAATTATATCTACACCGATATACTCCACATCTGTATGGAAAGAGGCAAAGGACATTCTTCGCACAGTTTGTCCAAAAACTAACATAACATTCCCTCATAAAACCATAAATGATATAGCACTTATTATATCCTTTAACGAACCAGCATTGTATTCAAACATTCCATTATTACAAGCCATGTATCGCCCATATTTCCATAACATCATTTTCTGTGGACCAAACATCAAGGAGTTTACATCCCATGTTCAGAATACCACATCAGGGTATTTCATATACATGGAGCTCTTCAAGAGAGGATGGTACTACATGTATGAATGCCTTATTGAAGCTATGAAGCTCAATGTTGATGTGAAAGGATTCTTACAGATTGGAGATGACACTCTAATCAACCCTTGGAATATGTACAAGCTGCCACGTGGCAAGATCTGGCTACATACAGGGGGCAGACGCGCTAATACCTCTGCCGAAAGATTAACACCCAATTGGGTATGGTGGAAACAGGGTAAACCAGCCATATTGGCGGTCATTGATGAAATAAGAAGCATGTCACTGCTAAAGTCACCCAAATCCTTGGCACATCGCTTTCTTCACAATTTTCAGCATAACTCCAATAATCTTACAAATTTATTTATTCAAGGTTGTGATTTCATGTACGTGCCAACGTCTTTTAAAGAGAATTTCACTTTTGTGGCTAACCTGCTGTTGAAACATGATGTCATGGTGGAAATAGGATTTGCAAATATTGTTTATGGCCTTCAGATGGTGAATGACATTCATTTTGTAAAAGATGGCAGCCTTTGGGATAACAGGGATAAATATAGAGACGTTTATGACACCAAAGATATATTTTTACATCCTTTCAAGTTTAGGTCTTATCTTTCTAACGAACCAGGGAAAATCTTCTTTTGTCATACATATCTCAATGTTTCCAATCATTTGCACGTAAAGAAAGGTAAAGAAGAATGGATACCCTGAGTGAGTGGTCTTTCCACAGAAACAAAAGTACATGTATGATAACATCAATGAACAATTTCCTCACTCAATATCGACTCTAATGTCATTTCCCTAACTTTTGCCTCACCACAGACTTGTCTAAACGAAATGCCGTGTCTCTCTTTAAATCTAGATAGTGTTATGTGAGTGGTTTTTTTTTGTAATTTGCATTATCATTGATGAAGTGATAATTGTTATGGGTCACAATGTTTAAAGTTTTGAGTGTGGGCTTTGGCACATATCTCACTTCATATATCTTCAATGGCAGCACTATTTTTAGCGGGAAGGCTTTTGATAGCGCTTCAGAGTTGCCTCCCTTGGCAATCTTGTTTATTTACAGCTTTCATCATGCCATGGAGTTTTCCACCGATTTCGACGGATTTCTATAAAGCTCTGAGTGGATAATGATACAGCCTAGCATTGCTAGAATGCTCGAAAACTCGGTAAGAGCTATATAAAGGCTGGTTGTTGTGTTGTGCGTGGGGCTTGACATGACTGGATTTGTGTACATCTGTCTGCCTTCGTCAAGTTGTTCAACATTCAAGACTGACCGTCAACGGTTGTCATTGTAAACAACTTTCAATCAGTATATCTGCTCTCACTGCAAACAACCTTCAATCAGTATATCTGCTCTCACTGTAAATGTCAAGACTCTGGTGAGTCGATATCTTATATTTGTGGCCCAATATGTTAGATTTGTGACTCAATTGCATTATACTAGAAATCTGTATTGTCATTCGTTGTAGCTTGCTCATTGCTTGTTCAATATATTATCAAATTATTTTAGACTTGTCTGTGTTCTATTTTGCTGGTTCAAAGGGGACTCTTAAACCTTTTGTCACGGCAATTTATTAACCGTAACAATATTGGGGGCTCGTCCGGGATCGAATTCCTTTGACATCTGAGACCTTTTGTGAAATATATTTAAACTTTCTGCAATTTTGCAAGTTAATCGTGAAACCAGCAAAATGGTGTTTGAACTTGAGAACCCTGAACATTTAAAGTCTGAATGACCTAAACGTTCTGCAAATTCCTCAGCTTTCATTTGAAGCATAGGCCCTGACACTGGCACATGTTGATCTCTAACGTTTTTAAACCAGGACAATAGCTCATCTTCTACTTGCTCTAGTCTTGCAACATGAAAAAATGATGATAAATAATAAAGGCTATTGCCGGGACCGTAGAAAAAGTTTACTTATCGGGGTTTCACTGTATTACATACACAGTTTATGTAAAGGTGTAAACAGAGTTTCCATCGAAATCCCCTGTTGTTGATCAATGAGGAAAGTGACCATAAGGTATTAATCAGGTTTCTGAAACTGTTTGTTGTTTAGGTTGATAAATCCTTAGACTTCAAGCTCATTGAAAAGATGGACAGATGCGACATATACGCACGCAGATGCACACACGCACATACACGCACGCACATACACACACTCAGCACAATATATCAGAATACATTGCTTTGTCTTCAGCGATAAATACAAGATAATGAAACACGATTCTGGCTTGTGTAATTTGCTTGTAACCTGTCTGAGACGACATTTTATAACTTGTGTTTTTAAGTATAACAGCATAATATTAAACCATGTCCGCCAATGTCTAAAAGCTTTTGAATACCTCTTTCTTTATTATGTTAATTAATCATGTGTAGTTTAAAGCCTTCATCAACATAATATATTTTAAAAACTGCATGTATACAGAGCTTTAAACGTTTTTAATTAAAGTATGATAAGTCAGAGTTGTTTGGTTTTTTTTGTGAAAATTCATGCACACAACTGGACACGCCCATAAATTCAAGAACCAACCAATGGAGAATGTGGAGTGGGGTGGCAAACAATCACATAAATGATAGTAGAAGACTTTACATAAAAGTCATGTGAATCAGGTGACCTTTTAATTCATGCACACAACTGGACACGCCCATAAATTCAAGCACCAATCAATGGAGAATAGCATCAAAACATAGTTTATAAGATGTGTCAATCAAGGCATAAGACAATGAGAACAAAAGGAAATACGTCAGGCGGCTGTTTCAAATGGCATCATCAGTGATCACCAGTTTCACACATCTTTTCTCTAAGATCGGGTAGACGCATTAGGGAAAAAATACGAGTTCAATATGAAACTCGAAAACATGAAAGTTCTGCAAACCAGGCGAAACACAGAAAACAGGCGAGCCTTCAGACCCTGAACGTATTCACGGTATGTTTTTTCTTTCCTTCTCGGTCTCCGTCCTCGCAAAAGTGGTTGGACGGATCCGGAATGTGCATGGATGTAGCCAAAAGTCCTGTGAATGATGACATAGGTAAGCAGAATGGGAATTCCCTCGACTGTAATAGTTATTCCATGGCAGTCTGTTGTGGTCAAAGTACCGTGCAGTAACTATTTACAGTCATTGGGAAAGGAGTGCAATAACACGTGACCAGTTCAGCCAATCAAACGCAGGAAAACATATTCATTTGCCCGTGATGGCGGCTGATACAATTTGGCAAGTAAATTACTGAAACAATGTGCAAAATTCAGTTCACTACAGAATTCGTTAGCCATGTTGATAATACATAAATATGTTACATGGAAGTATTCCCCAAAGCAGTCGAAATTATGGAAATGTTGCAGTTCGTTATAACGATTAGAATAGTAAAACTGATGGTATTACCCACACACAGCTTGCGTCAAGCACCATCGCATTACGTATGCCAGCTACTCCAGAGAAGTTCACCAGGTCTATCCCATAATATATAGGGGCGGTGGGGTAGCTCAGTGGTTAAAGCGTCCACTCGTCACGCCGAAGGCCTGGGTTTGATTCCCCACATGGGTACAATGTGAAACCCATTTCTGGTGTCCCCTTCTATTGCTAGAATGTTGCTAAAAGTGGTGTAAAGCTAAACTCACTCACTCACTCACCATAATAGAAAATGACCTCTACTACACCCCGCCAGCTGCCTTGAATGTCGAAGAAGTTCCTCCAAGTCTTGCAGTATTTCTTGTTGGATTGTTAGTTGTTCTGGGGATGTAGGGGGGTCATCAATTTTGTACATAAAGATATTTTAAATTATGCTTAAAAATATGGGAAGGAAGAAGGGGTTGGGGGGTATTGACATGCAGGGGTTCACTTACTTTGTACATAAAGTTTAGGTGTGTGGGGAGGGTTGGGGGGGCACTCACATTGTACATGCTTCTCAATAAAAATCATCATCACCCCCCACCCCAGCCATAAATTATTAACGGACCCTTATCTTCTGTAACCTTCGCCCAACTAATTGCCGTTTGGAACCCTTGTCGTCATTGAGTGCACAAGACGCTGAATCCGATGTTGGGGCAACCTGTTCCATTCTTGGTGCGATGTTTCCTCTGATTCATCAACACTCTGAACTGACAGATCTCTCTGACAAACCTCACGCCCCAGAATGTGCCAAACATGCTCGATAGGGTTCAAACCAGGGCTTCTGGCACATCATGGCAGGGTGGTAATGGCTTCTTAGTGCAGGAAATCAATGACTAATGATGATAGGGGATGATTGTCAAAATGAGGCACCACATGCCTCCTCAAGATTTCCTTTTGGTATCCTTGTCCACTTAACCTGTTTGCCGTGGGTTGCGCCCCTGTGTCGGTGGAGGAAGGGATTCTGGTGGTTGAGGGCACTGGTTCCAGCAATAGCGTTCCTTTGCCCAACACACCACTTCGACCCTACCTTGACGGGTGGTAGAGTTGGCCCGATTCTATCGATCAGCTGGTCACGCCGAGCCCTGTGCATAGTGAATATTTGTTACACATTCAACTCATACAGATTCAAATACACTCACGTGCGTGTTTGTTGACATAACGGCTCTCATGGGTCCAATTGAGCATATTTCTGACGTTCTTGCGGGCTTGTTTGGCGATGATTGTACGTGTGCTTCGAACAGTTGTAGGAAATGCAATTATAAATGCTTCGAGTTTCAATTGAGTGAGTGAGTGAGTGAGTTTAGTTTTACGCCGCTTTTAGCAATATTCCCGCAATATCAAGGCGGATCAGAAATGGCTACGAGTTTAAAAACAATAATATTATATCTGTATGTAAATGATCAACTTTAATCTTTGACATTGGACTTACATTCCACATCTCATGGGATATTTTAGTCTGACTTCTTTTTTGGGTCATTCATATTTTTTCAGTGAATTCATTTAAAATTCCACCAAGGGTATGACAGCAAGGCTACACGTATGTTCAGTTTGAGAAATATTTTGAAGTCAATTTTGAGTATCTGCTTTGGTATTTAATGTAGCTGAATGTTTGTATTTTATTTGCATATTCAGTAAATCCTGTTTAGAAATATAACTGGAAATATAAGGTGAACAGCTGGTAATAATTACATTACAAATATGTTTTTGACAGATACGTTTTTCGT